ATTTTTTTTTCTATTTTGACAAAATGTTTTTGTATTTTTAACTTTATGAAATTCTCCAAAAATTAGTTGGTTATAATTTAATAATAATAGACTTTATATTGCACCCTTTTTCTGAAAGCTTTTCTACTCCCATTCAAAGAAATCTATGAATTATTTTTTCTCAGCAAACCAACCAATCACAATTTTTTTTTTTTTACAATTGCTAACAGCAATGTTTATCGACAAATTTTTACAATTGTTCCATTAATGCTAATTTTTTCTATTTCATTTTAACCTTTTATAACATATTTTAATTCTAAAAAAAGGGTCTTTTTTAAGAACTAACTATATACTAATATTTAATTTTACTCTTTTGTTGGTCAATATATGATTTTTGATTCAAAAATTTGTAACAAAACATTAAAAAATTAATAAAAAATCTTGCCAAATTATCAAGATATGTTAAAAAAATAACATTTTGAATAAAATATTTTATAATATCGACACTTTTCTTGTGCCCACATCCTACACTTTATTAGAATAAAGAAACTAAAACCTGGAAATTTTAAGATTTTTACTGGAAAACCTGGAAAAATCAGGGAAATTTGAAATCTGGTTTGAGTGGCCACCCTGAAACATTGTGCACAAATTACTTTTTTTTTACCTACTCATGTATAGTTTGGGTAAGGTAGAAAAAATCACTAAACTCCAATGACCATTTAGTAGAAATTTAATAGTACAACAAATAGACATAAATTTAAAGGGAAAAATTGAATTTTTTTTTTGTAAAAAAATAACTTTAATTTACATGACTTCCACAATGTTTCTCTCTTTTTTTCTTTCCTTTTGCATTATGTTCCAAAATTCCTTCTTTCATTGAATTGTCTCTTAATGATTTGCCACATTTTGTTCTTAATTTTTCATTTCTTTTCTCACAGTAAATTTAATATGCTACTTTTTGTTCTCTTAAACTCATTTTTTTTTTCCTCAAAAAATATAATTTGTCGATTTCCGTTCTCAAATTTGAATTTTTTCTTTTCTCTTTCAGCAAATTTAACTACTATTTGTTCTCTCAAATTTTAGTTTTCTCTCATTTACAGCAAACGTAACTTGCTACTTTCTGTTCTCAAATTTTAATTTTTTTCTCTCAGCAAATGTAAAAATTTTTTTTTTGTTCTCAGATTTTTAATCTTTCTTTCACTTACAACGAATTTTAACTTTCTACTGTTTGTTCTCTTAAATTTTTGTTTTCATTCATTTACAGCAAAAGTAACTTGCCACTTTTTTGTTTTCAAAATTAATTTTTTCTCACAGCAAATGTAACATTCCTTTTTGTTGTTTTTAAATTTTAATCTTTTCTCATTGGCAGCAAATTTAACCTTCTACTGTTTGTCCTCTTCAATTTTCGTTTTCATTTACAGCAAATGTAACTTGCCATTTTCTATTCTCAAATTTTAATTTTTTCTCACATCAAACGTAACATTCCACATTTTAATCTTTTCTCTCTTATAGCAAATTTAACCTTCTACTGTTTGTTCTCTTAAATTTTCGTTTTCACTCATTTACTGTGGATGTAACCTGCCACCTTTCGTTCTCAAAGTTCCATTTTTTTTATCACTTATAACAAATTCCATTTTTTTGATTTATTTGTGGATTTTGACCAAACATTTAATCTTTACACGAGTTTGAAGTCTTCCCCGCTATGTCGAGTCCTTAAAATCCATGATAGATTACATAATAGCCACCTTCAACTTTTTGACTTGGCATCTTTATTTTCTTTCTCACTTTTCGTTTTCCCTATCGTGAATGTCACCTGCCACTTCTTGTCATCTCTCAGATTTTCAGTAGGCAACTGGAAAGTGTTTCGTTCCCTCTCGTGATCCACGTGAAACGTCACAGCTTGGCGAGATCTTGGCTGCTTTCCACTTCTAAGTCTCTTCAGGGTCTGGGTTCTCAACGCGCGATATCCAGTCCTGTTATTGGAAGATTTCACCTTCGTAGTGCCACTGAAACTGCTGATGCGACCTCCTATCGACTGGAACCTGGCGTCAAATTCCTCCACTTCCTCTTCTGTGAGGAAGTGGACATTGGCCACGCAGTCCACGGCCGATTTCGTCCTGCGTCCATCCCAGTATTTGTACGGCTGGATGTTGCATCGACACTTCATGGGTCGTTGGAGAAGGGGTAGTCTCAGGGAAGTGTTGTCCGCTAAATTCAGGGGAGTACTCATTCGAGGTGATCCCCTGGATTTCGGAAGGGGACTTGTTCTGGTGGGTGTTAGAATACTGGGGAATTTGTTGTCTATGGAATCTTTTGTGAAATTGTCGTCTTCTGGTTCGTATAGACGAATAGATGGTAATCTAAGTTTTTCTGCACTAACTGAAAAAGAGATGAAATTGTTAATATGGTAAATTCGGTTACTGCGCAAAATTATCAACTAATTATCGCTAAAGTGCAATAATCAGTTATTCTGCCGATTAACTAGCAATGTGAAGATTAAATACTAAGATGGTCTATTAAAATGCCGAAAATCTTTTTTTTTTTTCGCAAATTATGTAGGTAATCCAGGGTGCGTAGCGTTTTTAAAAAGTGCTTAAAGGTGCTTATTTTCGTTATTTAAAAAGCCCGTAAAGATGCTTTTTTCATTGGGTGTTTTTAAAAAGTGCTCAATTTTCCCTTTTCCAAAATGAGATTGTTTTCTTTACCCTGTCAATTTTCGCCACGTATTATGCAAAAGCGTGATTTTCTCAATGTTCTATTCAACGTTTTACAATTCATTCAACCACAATCTATTTCGGTGTTGTCTCATTCGGTCCATAGCGTATGAAAGCGCCGATCATTTTACATGTAAGATGAAATACTTGCGAGTCCACTTTTGTTTCCACTGAGCTGAGTTCGGTGAGATTATTGCACTCTCATGCGCAACTCTGCTACATTTTGCAAGATATTCTCAATTTCAGGCTTCATTTCCCACCCTCTGATATCGAATCGAAAAATCTCTTGATCATTTTATAATGACTAATGTAATCAACAAAAGAGTTCTTTGTCAGAAACTAGTAATTTTATCATGTAAAGTCTTAGAAAATTGCATTTTGTTAATGTACGTAGTGCTTAAAAAGTACTTAAAAGGTGCTTATTTTTTGTTGAAAGATTTGGCTACGCACCCTGTAATCTACATAATACCTATTTGACATTCGTTTATCTGTACATTACCCACAAGACTCTCATTAAAGAGAAAATAAGATATTTTCTGGAACAAAACGTTCTTGCGCGCATAAATTAACAAAGTGTTATTTATTTCTAATATCTAAAGAACCAAGTTAATAACAGTAAACACATTAGGTAATAGAATCAATTAATTAAAAAAATTATAAAGAAATCAGACGGTTCAAAATATTACTGCAACTATGGAAGTAAACATCTTCATTTTTCGCTCCAGAAAATTTTTTTTTACCTAACTTTGTTTTACTAAACAGTTGGGAGAAAAAGTTTTGAGACGATGTTTTCTTGTAAGACAATTACAGTAAAATACATAAATAATAAATATAAGTTAAGTAAAAAGAAGTAGACTATAAAAAATTATATTTCAACTAATTCGATGTGTGATACGGTTTTGTATTTAATTAACTTATCGTTAATTAACATCCTAACTTATGTAGAGGAACTTAGCTCAACTTTAATACGCCATTTTGCTGACGTCATATGTCATAAGTGTGGTCATATGTCTTCTTGAAGTGCAAGTACCCGATTGATTATTGTATCATGCAATAATCTCGTTTGCTATAAATTCTTGTAATTTAATGAAATATGTAATCAATACTTTTCAAAACAAAAGAAATGAATTATTAATTTACATTTAATTATGAAAAGAAGCTGATAATAAAACAAATCTTACAGCTTGAACGTTAAAACGCTATCTTGTTTACTAACAGCCAACTGATGCTGAGATTATAGATCAGGTGGTTGTGTATCAGCAGCCTTCTTCGTCTCGAGTTGAGAGTATTCCATTAGCGATGGGAGACTAATACCGAGAATTTCTTTTCAAGTTGAAAAATTAACGTTACGATATGTAAATAAGAAAATAATAATAACGTGATGTTGAACATTTATGTAAATAAGGGTGGCGAAAGTTTGGAAAAATTTAGACAGTGTTGAATCGTAAAAGTTATGAACTTTAATTTCACTTCAATTTTATGATTTTACTTGGTCATTTGCCACACAAATATTTAATTTGCAAATATTACATAATATTTTGATTGATAGTAATTTGTTAAAAAAAATTTTTTTTCCATCGAATTTTTTTCTGGAATGAGGCTACTCTGTAAATGTATTAGCAGTAAAAGAAGGACTATCTACTTATAGCATTTGATTTCCGATTAAATTGTAATTACTGAGTAAAAGGTATTTATAATTTTATTTACTATAGATTTTAGATAATTTTTAAATGACAGAAAATATGCCAATTGTGACATGATAGGTTCTTCATGTGGTATTGTGAATAATGAAGCACAGATATCGGAGATGGAAGAGAAAACAATAACGTGTCGGGTGTGATACTTACTGGGTGAAATTTCAGTGTCACTGTGCCGCAAGTCACTTGGAGATGATCCAGATTCTTTGATGATGGACATTTGGCGATCAGATCTTGGCGTGATATTGTGGTCCTAAGGAATATGAATTATTACTCAAATGCATAATAATTAATACAGTAATTTTGAAAAAAGAAATATATATCTGGTTAAACTTACTGTTTGATTTATAGAGGGTGTACTTAATGATTTATCTGAAAAAGAAAGAATATATACGTTAATGTGTGCAAGGATCTGTAACAAATTGTAAAGACCGTCAAATATTTCGAGAACTATGCATCAAATCAAAACTCTGAAAGCACAAGTGTGAGATATTTTTCTTTTTTCAGTAGTGTTTTGTTAGATTTTGATAAATTTTTTCCTCATCTGAATATTAATTCGAGACTTCTATGACTGCGGTTCCCAGTTTTTTTTTCCGCTATCGAACCCTAAATGATGGAAATTTTGGCGGAACCCCGGCGATATAAAAAAATAAAAAATTTTATTAGCCATTTTCAATATAATAACCAAAAATAAAATTAAAATATTATTTTTAAAAATATTTAATGTGAAAAAGTGTTATAATTATTATGAAAATATTTAACGTGAAAAAGACTACTAATTACGATGAAAATATTTAATATGGAAGAGACTAGTAATTTTTTTTAAAATATTTAATATGAAAAAGACCACTGATTACGTTGAAAATATTTAATATGGAAAAGACTAGTAATTATTTTGAAACTATTTAATCTGAAAAAAAATTACTAAGTATGTTGAAAATATGTAATATGAAAAAGACTACTGATTACGTTAAAAATATTAAAAGACTAGTCATTATTTTGAAAATATTTAATATGAAAAAGAAAAAAAAAACAATTTTGCTGAAAATATTTAACAGGAAAAAGACTACTGATTACGTTTAAAATAGCAATCTTTGAACAGCCGACTCAATTTTGAGTTTACCACTACCAATATTCAACTCCGTAGCTTTGCAATTTTGAATCATTCTAGAAAACAGGAGGACTCCTGAGAACGTAACTAGATCGTAAACTAGACCGAATCTAGACTTAATCGTAAACTAGACCGAAAACGTTGTGAACGGAGTATGTTTGATCCTAAGCCCTGTTCTCAAAAAAATTTCTATCTTCTTTGGATGAGGAAGCACTTTCAGTTCATTTACGCTGAATCAGGGGCTAATATTACACTTGCGAGATTGATGTAGAGTGATTCATCAATGGACAGTTTTAGTAGAGTTGCATAGACTGAGTGCTACTTACTTCTGCTGGTACCAAGGCGCGGGGAAGGCTTGTACTCGTGCAGATTTCCGTCCGAGTGTGCTCTAAAGATGGGAATACTGGACCTACGGACTCCTCCTCTCTTCCCGTCCGCAGTCTGCCTGAGGATAAAGATAACAACTCTCTATAGTCACTGGAACAACACTTTTTTTTCATTTAAAAATTACACAAATGTAAATCTTAAGCAAAGACTTTTCATCTTGAATTACTGGTATCAATAATAAATCAGCAAGAGTAAAGCGGAAGGAAATAAAAATATACATTTAATTTAGTTCTGATCAAGAAACAAGAAAATTTATTCTGACCTAGTCTTGAAATCAGTTACCATGATAATCAATAGATGGCGCTACTTATTTAAAAACATTCCACAATTTACAAAATAACTACTATTTACAGCAGCAATGGTGATATGAAATAAAAATGACAGACGTTAGTGAAAGAGCCGTTGTGGCTCACGGTATAGAGCGTTCACCTTCCAATGGGGGGTACCTAGTTCGAATCCCAGCGATGGCTGTTCGATACTAATTCAGCACCATGCTTGCACTGACAAAAGTGCTACCGTAAAATATCAGTGGTAGACGGATTATGGGCTGGAACCCCCGTTGCCGTTAGGCTAACCGTGGGAGGTTTTCCTTTCCATGTAACGTAAATGCGGGTTAGTTCCCTCAAAAAGTCCACCACGAAGGCAAATTTCTCCCAATATTTGATCCAGGAGTTCCCTTGTCTTCTGGATTGGGTACAAAATTACAAGGTTATGAAGTTGAACATTAGTGCTGCCGTGCAATTGAAAAAAAAAACGCAAGTGCTTGATTGATTCTGTGAAAAGTGACTTGACAACTTTTATCCTTCTATTGCTCATGCTATGAACGCTAAAATAGAATTTCAAAAATCTGATAAAACAAAACAAAAAATTATAACGTTGATTTTTCAATTACACGGCAAAGTACTCGTAAACCCGAAATTCGGTTGGCTGTTCAACTACGATTATAAGATGTAAGACGCTATAGAAAATATTTCAGTTGAAATGGTCGGAAAGACAGCAGATTTTTTTCCCCAGTAGTTTCCCATTTAGTAGCGCCATCTGATCGATTCAGTAACTAATTTTATAACGTGATAATTATAAATCATTTCTTAACAATAAACTATACATTCCTATCTTTTCCTGAATTGATTTTTAAACTGTCGGTCCTTTTTCGGAAATGTCAATAATTAATTAGTCATCTTCTTCACCATCTAAATGCATTTCTCGTATTATTATAATTAATTATTTAAAGTGTAACATAAAGATGAACAAAATAAAATCCCACCTTTTAAAGTTACTCCCCAACGTTGAAGATGCTTCTCCAGGAACTTGCAAAGCGCTTCGAACAATATTTTCCCTCCTGGGACTTTGGGGGATATTGGGGCACATGCTCAGAGAACCACTTCCATCGGATTTAACAGATAATTCACTGGTGGTTAATGAATCTCTTCTTGGCGTGCGATGGTAGTCTGAGAACACAGAAGAATTCGACTTACGCCTACTTGATTCTAAAATGGGCAGTTTGCTAGTCAACTTCTTCTGCTTGTGTATTGGTTGGTCATCCACGTTTTCATCGGTGTCTAAACTTGGCAGTGAAAGCTTTTGTTCCATCTTCGAGCCTTTCATTCCAGTGTTGATCATTGCTGTTGTGTGTCCGAAGTCGATGGTTATGGAACGCCGATGCTTGTGGACTGATTCCGTGGTGCTCATGTAGCCGGAATCTTTTACGTAGGACTGATCGCTTTCTCCTGGGGCTGAACTAGCATCTGTAGTGCAATCTCTTTTGATCTTCTCCTTTTTGCGGTCTTTCATTCTTATCTTTATGCTGTAACCGGGATCTTCCTTACGTTCGATGACGAACTTCACATCGCCTTCATCTAGAGACGATGACTTCGCCGTTTCGGACAATCTGGGTGGTGGTTGTTTTTCATTATCTTTATCATCTTTATCTCTATCATCTTCATCAGCACCATCTTTTGTGACATCTCGAGATCTATCATTATTTACATTCCGTATGTTGCTAGCGATATTTAGTTCTTTATCGTGATTACTTTCTTCTTTATTGTCTCTTTTCCCGGTATTGGACTTTAATGGGCTTTTTGATTGGTGTTTAACAGATTTATCGCGGTGTATCGTTGTGTTTGGTATAGATGATTCGTTTTGCTGTGTCTGATTAGCTTGACTAGGTGTTGGTTCATTTCCTGTTTTATGAAGCTCGTCATTTCTAACTTGAGGTATTTGTTTACTTTTTTCAGGAATATTTTCTCTTCTTGGCGAGTTAATCGCAACCTTCGATCCTACAGGTTTGCTCTGAATAGATTTTATTGGTTTTTGCTTGCTAGGAGATTGATTTTGAGAGCCGGTACTTTTATCTAACTCTTTAGAATCTTTTCTCAAAATGACCCTTTTCCTTGTTTCAACTTTAGCTTTGTCTTTAGAGTTTTGAGCAATCTTTGTGTTCAGAACTTTGGATTTCACTTGCAGCGCCGGGCTGCGTTCTGAGATGGAACCAGTTTTTTCATCTTTAGCTTTACCCGCATTCGATTTCGCTTCTTTATTTGCAACATCGGTTTTACCACTTGCTTGTATACGTCTGGGTAGTTTATTAGTTTGCGCTTTGTCCTTTTGTGCTTTATCTTTGGCTTTGTCCTTCTCGGGAGGTTTTTCCTGTTTAAACCGCTGGCTTGAAAAGTTAGGTTTACGTTTAAGGGTATGTATGGGGCTGCTGCCTGAGCCAAAATGAACCCACAGAAATCCGGGTTTATCTAAGTTTGAGTACTCTCCATGTCGTTGGCAAGGGAGTCTGTTTGGGCTATCTTGATGAGAATTTGGAAAATAATTATTGCCGTCAGCGCTGGGATTAATAATAGTACTGTTGAAAACTGTTAATTGTCCATTAGAGTTTAACCTTCTAAATGCAGAATTTGCTATGGCAACAGCTTTCTCTGACTCCAAAGACCTCTCTCGCTCTCTGGATTTAAATCTGGTGTCAGATTGCTGTTTGTGGGATTGTTCATAACGATCTGAAGTTAATCGAGTTGGTCTTGGTTGCATGTTATCTTTAGCTGCTATACCAGGTGTGGTATAGAACAAAGCTCCACGGTTTTGTTTTTTCTTGTCAGCCTCTTTCGTTTGTTTAGTCATGGTAATATTGGTATCAACAGGTTTAGTATTGTAGAAGACAGCACTTGGATTTTGTCTTTCAGGAGATTTCTTTGGTGAAGCTTGGGGCACTGGATCCTCATTACTTTTCGAAATATTATCTTTACTCAAAAAATCTTTGGTAGAAGTTCCTATATCTAACATTTTCTTACTGCTAGTTCCTATGCTTGATGTTTTGGGCACGTTTAAGGCAGTGGGTTCTCTTGAGGCTTCTGTCTGTATGGCTATACTTTGTTGAATGTTATATACGTTCTGTTCTTCTTCGTGTTGATCCTCCAATGAGACTGACCGCCCTGTCTGTACGGAAATTGATCTACTCACTTCAGTCTCTAAATTATTCTGATTTTGTTCATCTTCGTCGCTCGAGACATTTTCGTTCACATTTTCTGCAGATTGTCTGCTTTTATCAACGTCTTTCTCTAATTGGGTTTGACTATTTACTTTCTTAAATTCCTTTATTGACTCGGAAGCCTTCTCCGCCTTTTCCACAGGGGTTTTATGGTGTTCATCAGTTAACTGTTTCCCTCTTTTATTTTTTCCTGAGGAAATAAGCTCCTCATTCCGCTCTGTTGGTGTCAAACCTTGTTTTTTAATGGATGGAGACGTGGATTCAGTTGGCTTTGCTACATTTTTATCGGAATTATTCTGGTGATTTTTTTCCTCGTCCTCAATATGTTTGTTTTCATTGTTATTCTCTGCTTCAGAACCATCCAAAATACTACTCTGGGGTTTTAAAGTGTGTCTTTTTCTAGCATTTTCAGGATTAATTTTATCTTTATGATTAATTGCGCCTGGAGGTTTCGTTGCAACTTGGAGGTTAGTTGCATCTTGTTTATTGGTTGCATCTTGAAGATTAGTTGTATATTGATTATTCGTTGTATCTTGATGAATTGTTGCGTCCGGTTGAATAGTTGTTTCTTGATTATTAGTTGTTTTTGTGTCTAGAGATTTGATAGCATCAAGATTAACTTCTTCTTGAGGAACTAAATTCTGTTCTTTTTCTTCAGAACTGTCCTTTTTATCTGAAAGTTCTTCTGAAAGTAACAGGAGTTCTGGTATATCCGGCTTTGGTTGAATTTCGTCACTCTCGTCAGTAAAAAATTTTGTCTCTGCCTCAGATGATGAGTCAGGGTCAGAGAATTGCTCATTTTGCTTTTCCTCATCAGGAGGTTCAATTTCACTCTCAGATAAGTTGTTTAGATCTTTATCACCTGTTATAAGACCATCGTGTGTTTGAATTTCAGTAGAATGCTCTTCTAAATTAAATTCCTTGTCGTAATTTGATTTTGTGCCTTGATCATCCGATTGCATATTGGGATCAAAATCTTCTGAGAAGTCGTTCGTAGATTTTGGCTTATTTTTTTCTGATTCTGGGGATGTTCTTCGTTTTTCTTGAGATTTTTCTTCCGAATATTCTTTTTCCTCAGGTATATGTTCATTCTGTGTTAAATCCGCATTGTTTTTTTCGTTTTGTGGAGGTGGTTTTGTAACTGTTTCGTCTATTTTCTTTTTCAATTCGATTCGTGGAACAGCTTCTTTTTGGTTTTCCATTTCGTTTTTCAGTTTAACCGCTGCAGATTCAGTTGTCTGATTTAACTCTTCCTTATTATTTGATTTTCGTTCTTTGAGTTGCTGTTCGTTTGATTTATCACTTCTCCGTTCTTCAAGGAGCTTTTCTTTCGTTTGTTCCTCGATTTTCTGTTCTTTCAATCTACCTTTTTCTCGATCTTCGGGTAGCTTTTCTTTCTTTTTGTGTTTTGTTTGCTGTTCCCCCGATTTAACTTTATTTCGCTCTTCGAGTAGCTCTGCCTTCGTTTCTTTAATTCTCTTTTGTTCTTTCAGCTGCTGTTTCTTTTCTTCTGCATCTTTTTTGAGCTTTATATGCTCTTTTTGTGCAGTATCCATCGTATGTTCTTTTAACTGTTGTTCCGCTTCAACTGGAATTATTTCCCTTTTCTTCATTTCGGATTTATCATTTAATTCTTGAACAGTTTGTTTTTCAGAATCGTCTGCAATAAAATTCGAATTTGATGTTTCATTACTTTTTATGTGATCTTTCAATTCAGCTGTTTTTTCTTGCCGACTTTCTTCAGATTCTAATTCTTCTGCGTCGGGCTTCTTATTCTGCACTACATGTTCATTACCTGCCTCGGTTGCAGCTTTTTTCTTGAATTCTTCTGTTTCCAATTGTGAATCGTGATCAGACACCTTTTCTTTATCTCTGTCGTAAGCTGTTCCAGAATCTTTTGATGTTTGCTCAGGAGCTTGACTTACCGGTGATATCTCCCGTTTATCTCTCTTGGTATTTTTAGATATTGGTCTTGTTGGTTCAAGAAATTTTGTGTCTTTATTTTTCTTAATCACTCCTTTCATATCATTTTCTTCGGCATCATCTTCAACTTCAGGTTGCCGTAAAGAAGCTTTTGTATTTGTACCAATTAATGTTTCGTTCGATTCGAGTTTTTCTTCCCCTTCAACTGGAACGATTATTATATCTGGAAGTACTTCATTAGCATCTACAGTTTTGTTTAAATCGACAGCATCTTTTTCTTGTTTCGATTTTACTTTACGAGCATTTTGCATTGGTTTTGTAACTTTTTGACTTTGTTTTACAGCAGGTTTCCTCGTAGAGCGTGATATGCTTCTACTGGAAACTTGTGCTCCTCCTCTTCTCCTTGGACTTAAATTGCTTGAACGAGAGGTTCTCCGTTTCGAAGTCCCCGCTACTGTTTTAGACGCTCCAATTTCTTCTTTAGCTTCATCGCTAACAGGAAGAACTAGCTTGCTTTTGTTATCTTTGATGTCTGAAGTCTGTTCCTGGACAGGAACTGATAGACTTCTTGTTTTTTCAGCGTTTTCTCCTTCCAAATCATCTATTCTTTGATTATCGTCCAATTCTTGATTATCAATAAGTCCTTGTTTACTCGAAACCTCAACATCGTCTGCGATGAGTACTCTTTCTGATTTAAGCTCTTCATCGAATATCGTAATCCGTGGAATTTCTTCTGAGTTTCTCCTAGGCAGAACGGACATTTCGCTTTTCGATCTCTGTTCTTCGAGACTTGAATGCAAGTGGTCAGATCTATAAAATCGAGAGTCGTCGTCCGACAAGGGTCGTCTCTCTGATGAGTAATCCATGCTTTCACTACGTCTTCGTAATCGAGATCTTTTTCGATGGAAATGCCTTCTGTTCTTCCGATGTTGGGCAAAATGGTGAAAATCTCCTCGAACACTCAGATCTTTTTCTAGAGGTGGTCGACGGTGATGGTGATGATGATGGTGGTGGTGATGATGATGGTGACGTTTGGATTTATCATCTATCTCTTCAAATGTCTCCTCCCTTTCACTGCTGGCCACATTAGACGTCGTCTGCATTGGAACTTCTAAAAACTGGCTCGAGCTTTTGCGCCTCAGTAGATGTCTTCGTGGTGAATCATCATCTAAGACCATTTCATTGTCGCGTTCTTCATTCTCATTCATTCTGTCGACATGCATAGAATGTTTCCGTCTATGATGTGTTTCTCGCTGCTGGCATTTTTCATCCTGGCATTGAGAAGACCTCCTGTGCCTACACTTGGAATGTTTTTCATGTCTTGAAGACGTTCTAGAATGTCTCCTACCAGACCTATTCCTTTGATCGACGTCTTCACCTTCTTCTAGCAAATGATCTACGTCTATGCTGTTATCAGTGGACTGCCATTCTTCCTTTCCCAATTTTCTCCTGCTTTTATTTGCATGGTGTTGTTCTTCTGGAAAGTTCTTTTCGGGATATTTTTCTTTCATTCTTTGTTTCTTATGGAAAGCATCGTAGTCTTCACGCACAATATGCTTGTACTTATCTGATCGTTGGCGTTGAGGTTCATCTGCGTCAGCGTTACCTTTGTCCTCGTAATCACGCATCTCTGATGCCTTAGCCTGCTTCTGGAAGTAACGCTTTAAATAGGGGTTGGGCTCCCTCTGATTGGGACGGTGACCACTGCTGGTTTCACTCTCTTCGGGTTCTTTCCCCCAACTTCTGGCATCTGATCTTCGTTTTTTGAGTCTGGTGACTTTCACGCCAGTTACAATTCTAGTGACTTCTGTATCGCTGCCAACGCTGTCAGAGAAATAATTCTTCTCTCCATCATCACGGTCAACATCGACGTCACTTACGTAACTGGATTCGTGTTCATCAAAATCTTGAGTGGCAACGGTTTCAGTCTAAAAATAAATACAAATAAATAATTTTAAACATAGAATTATGTCATGGGACATCGGGTCACTGTTTTTCAGCTTGTTTATTTTTACCTTTTCCCTCGTTCTTCCTTTTCTCTTTTTTCCTCTGTGAGTTAACGGCTGGCGGTGTTTTTATTTCACAGTCACTTCTGAGGCATTAATCTCTATCAAGCTTGGTAACTGGTAGGCGTGGTCGGCATCTTTGAATTCCACATGCTTCCTTTCTTTTTTAGGGAAAGAAAAATGTTTTGTTCAGTTTAGTTGTTTACTCACTGCTTTAAACAACTAAACTGGACCATACTTTGAGCTTTCCCTAAAAAAAGACACTAAGCATGTGGAATTCAAAGGAGCTGACCCTTTGAATTCCACATGCTTAGGAAACCTGCCTAGCCGTCGCCAAACCTCTGGAAGGACTAAGACAGAAAAACACCGCTAGCTCTCAGAGGAAAAAGAGAAAAAGGTAGAACAAAGGAAAAAGTAGAAATTAACATATTAAAAAAAGTGACCCGATGTCACAAATTACTTTATCCAAAACATAGAAACTTCATATAAAAAAAAAGAGTTAAAAACTTAAGTCTATACTTTGTTTTAAGATGTAAATCACTACATTCCAATGCTAAACTACATTCAATACATTCCAATGCTAAACTGCATTCAATTGCATACAATACGTTAACATAAATGTCATTATATTCCAATGTAATTGTTTCTTTTTACCTCGTAGACTTTCTGAAGGGGTTTTTCGGATTTCAGATCCTCTCTTGTTTGTCTTGATGTCTTCTTCGTTTTTTTCTTCGTTCCATCATCATCAGCATTCAACGTCCTTGATCGTCCGCCTTCGTCTTCAGTTACGCTGACAACAATACCCCTTCCATCTCTCGTTTTCTTATTTAGGATAGACTCTCCTGCGATCTCCTTGCTGGAAGTTCTTCTCAGGTAGACATTGGTCAGAATTGGCCTGAGTTGCCTCACTTCAGACGATGGTCTCCTTTTACGTCGACCTTAAAGAAAAGCATAAAGAAGATTATTATTTATAAGAAAAAGTTTCAGTTGTTTTACCTAAGTAATTATTTTTATAAGTAACACTACATTTTACTACATGTACTACATTTTTGACAAGTAATCTAATAATATACAGAATACACTATGCGGTCAAAAGTACCCGGACACCCGGTTGTTATGGTAGTGGAAGCATAATGGTGTGGAGATTTTTTTTATAACCGTCGTTGAACAGCCGACACAATTTTTAAGGTTTACGACTACTGATGTTCAACTCTATAGCCTTGTAATTTTGAACCCAATCCAGAAGACGAGAGAACTCCTGGATCAAGTAATCTAATTGGGAGAAATTTGCCTCCGTGGAGGACTTTCTGGTGGAACTAACCCGCGTTTGCGTTACATGGAGAGGAAGACCAGAGAAGGACAAGGGGACTCTAACCCATGATTAATCAAACACTGAGGATATTTCAAGTCAGCACTATGGTCGGTGCAAGCCGAATGTGGAATTCATATCGACTGAGATTCGAACCCGGTTCGCCTCATTGGAAGGCGAATTCTCTGTCCCCTGAGCCATCGCGGATCTGTGAATATGTTTTTCGGGGCTGGATGGAAACATAAGCTCTGAGATGTACATAGATGTCTGTACTGAGATGTCTCTGGCTAAATTATTAGACGCACTATAAGATTCCATGTAAAATCTTAACTATCAGGTGATACTATACAGCATTATCATTTTTACGCGGATTTAACTGGTTTGCACTTGTTTACGTTAGTGTATTAATTGGTTAACATTGTAACGCAATACGTTAATAATAAATACAAATAGAAAGTGTATAAAAAATCTCCTGTATAAAAACCCCATTACATGTATGTTTAAATATAAAAGCGTTGCCTATAAACTCGTGCAAAACATGCAATTATTCAAACACTACAGTGCGTTTAATATATTTGGTCTAATTATTATAATATACTAATATAATGCTTGATATAATAAATATTCTATATTTATATAACATACCGTCTAACTCATCCAATCGTCGAATTTATATTATATATCGTCTGGTTTAACCCATTGATACACGAACGTAAACAGGTGTAAACCGGTTTCAGTCGCGTAAAAACAATAATGCTGTAGCGTGCGGGCCAGAGACTGTATGTGGACAATGCTGCAATCCCAACTCTATAGCAATATTTCAGCCCATTTCTCTTCCAGCTCCATTCACACATCGAGGCTTGCACAGACAGGGTTTGACGAAATGGGAGTTCAAAGAGTGAACTGGTTTTCTCAGAGCCCCGATCTAAAGCCCATAGAACACCTTTGGGACGAATTAGAGAGCAGATTACGTAGCCAGCCGAATCACTGCAAGCAATCACTTCAGCTGTGATGGAAGTCAATTCCTATCACAAACTGGCGGAAAGTCTTCCCAGACGTGTGCAGGCTGTCATCGATGCAAAAAAAAAAGGACCAACATCATATTAATGTGTGCCCCAGGACACTCTAAGTCCATACCACTGGGTGTCCGGACACTTTTGGCAGGATAGGGTATTTCATAATCATCGTCCTCAAATTGAGGACAATATAATGTGCAATGTCATAACGTCCTCAAATTGAGGACGATATGATAATCGTATCGTCCTCACGATGAGGACGATGATTATAAAATTCATGTATTTTTTAAATTCTTATCTGCTTTGAAGTAGAGACTGTGTGTGGACAATGACCTTTACACATTGGACACATTATAATGTCCTCAAATTGAGGACAATATAATGTGCAATGTCATAACGTCCTCAAATTGAGGACGATATAATAATCGTATCGTCCTCACCATGAGGACGATGATTATAAAATACATGTATTTTTTAAATTCTTATCTGCTTTGAAGTAGAGACTGTGTGTGGACAATGACCTTTACACATTGGACACATTATAATGTCCTCAAATTGAGGACAATATAA